GCAAAAGTCAATCACTGCACTGGGTGACCTTGTTACTTGGTTGTATTTTACTAAGAAGGCTACAACTCTGTAACACTGTATCTGTCATTATAAAAAGTAGGTTTAAGAGTAAAAAATTAGTTGTTGTTTTGCCACATATTACAAAAAAATTTTTTATATGCTGTGCCAATTTTTACTAATAAAAGTATTTTAAAAATTACAATTGACTATATACATTAGGGTTGAGAATAGGCTGGGCTGGGTTTGGTAAAGCCCAGATTAATAATACAAATTGAAACAAATATTATAAATAATTAGTTGGTTGAAAATTTTTTAAAAAATCAATTACAAATCAATTATTGCTAACTAATCGATTAATTGATTAATTGATTAGTTGTTTAGTTGATCTAATTTAATAATAATACTGAATATAAATCTGATAAAAATTTTATTAAAAAACCAATTAAAATAAAACCAACTAACCAGCATATTGGCAGATTTTGGAAATTTACTATTAAATAATTAACTATAAATAACTTTTAATCCACTGATCTGTTTTTGATAAAACAATTACCAAAATGTTCATCTCAATGAGACAATTCTAATGAACCCAAAATTGTCAAAACCCAATTACAGAATTCTGAGGTCAATAGAGATTTGTGTCACTTCAGATGTTTTAGAATTAATTAAACCAATTCTAAAACACCCAAAGTGAAACAAATCATTAATGATATCAGGATTCTGTAGTTAGATTTTGATGATTTTGGTTTCATTAAAATTGTCTTATCAAGATGAACATTTTGATAATTGTTTTATCAAAAACGAACCAGTGAATCAAAAGTTATTCGTAGTTAATTATTATTGGAATTTTTAATAGTAAATTCTAAAAATCTGCTGATATGATTAATTGATTAATCAATTAATAGTTAATTGATTAATTGATTAATATTAATCGATTAATCAATTATTGCAGTTTGCAAAATTATGTGAAATTTGAAGATCATTAAAAAAAAGTAATCACTGATTTCCGATTACTGATTTCTAATTTCTTCAACTTTTTTTTAACTTTTAGACTTGACAAAATTTGCACATTTATTATTTGTAAAAATTTGATTGAATATTTTAATTCACAACTCCTATTTCTGCAAATATATTGTAAAATAATGAATATGCAACTTTTATTTTTATAAAAATAATAAAATTTTACAAAATAATAACTGCACAAATTTTGTCTAATCTAAAAGTCAAAAAAAATGTTGAAGAAATCGGAAATCAGTAATCAGAAACCATGATTACTTTTTTTTTTTTAATGGTCTTCAAATTTCACATAATTTTGCAAACCGCAATAATAGTTAAGCGATTAATCAATTAGTTGGTTAATCGATTAATAGTTGGGTCAAAATTGTTAATCAATTAGTTGCCAACTCAGCCAACTAATGATTAATCGATTTTCGATTCATATCAATAGCCCAGACTAAGGCCCGTAAAATATTTTTGAGCCCAAACCCGGCCCGAAAAAAAAAAGCCCGGGTTAGTGGGCCGGGCCAGGCTTTATTTTAAAATTAAGCCCGGCCTGTTTAGGCCCATCTAACAGAGCGACCATTCAAATTCATAGATAATTCCGATATGGTTACATAATTGATAAATGATTTTTTATACTTCTTTTAAAACATCATGTAGCTTAATTTTCTATGAAACGAGTGTAAATTTAACGGATGAATTAATACTTTCGCTTCGCCTTAAAACATATTCTTTGAATCTCTGTGAATCCCACGACTATTTTTGCAATCTGATTGGCCGATTTACTAACATTCAAGATACGATTGGCTGATAATCATGTGTAACTATCTACGAATTTGAACGGTCGCGCCTGTTGGCTCATCTACCAATTCATCTTTATCTTACAATTAAAAATAATGCTTATTATAAACTCGTGTAGCTTATTTTGAGTACTTAGAATATTCATGCAGTTAAAATGCGGAAATCTAATTTTAATTGAATTTGGTAACATATTTATTTTCAAATAAGTGATATACAGTCAACTCTCTCTAATCCGAACCTCTCTAATCCGAACACTATTAAATTCTCTCTAATCCGAACGAAAAACTCTAGAACATTTGTAAATTTTATTATAGAGTTCGGATTAGCTAATAATAACTCTTTGAGAACCGAACTTTTTAACCAATTTTTCATATAAGAACGGACAGGTCGGAATAGACAGAGTTGAATTTATTGTATTTTTCGATAAATTTGAAATGATACTAGAGAGTTTCAAAGTTAGCTAATGAGTGGGAGTTTAAAAATCTTATTTGTATTTCAAAATTTTAAAATCGGAAAATGAAGTGGGAGTGTCTGGAGATCCCATTTAACGAAATAGACTTTTCAATGACAAAATCATCAATTCAAATTTATCAGAAAATGAAATAAAGTTGATATATTGCTCATTTGAAAATAAATCTGTAACTAATTTCAATTAAAATTAGATTTCCACATTTTAACTTTGAAACCCTCTATTAGAGACAAGACTATTATCTCGCAAGTCTACGAACGCACATGATAAAAGATTGATACCACGGAATCATACCGCTTTGCAAAAATCGCATTTATCTCTAGTAAACCATCTTTAGAGTTCTAACAAAAAAATTTCTTGTGCAATTTTGCTAATTACGTTATTCTTCTTAACCTTGATTTAAACTTTAACCCAAATATAAACGAAGTTTATTAGCTCAACAACATTTGTTTCCGATCATCACGTGACAGTAAATCGATACTACGCCCTTTCAAATTCCTTTCATGGTGGCATCGCCCCTACCAATGGCGTACTTAGTACACTATTAAGTAGAAAAATACATAATTTTAAGCACTTGCAAGATGGTTAGAAACGTCACTATAAAACTTTCTTGTCATACCTTCGGCAATTGCAAATTTCATCAATCGAGAAAGAAATGGCAAAACATTAATTAGTGGATAAATTTGACGATTACGTAATTGACGGTCAACGAAGATTTAACCCCTATAAAATATCCTGTCAGATCGAGTAATATCTTACAAGAAAAAGTAGGCAAATATTGTTAAACACTTTTAAACCATTGATAAAAATAAAAAAAAATAAAAAATAAATAGTAATAATCCCATTGCTCTGCATGATATTACCGTTTCTTCAACACAACACGTTCATATATAGTAGATAAATCAGTATACATATATCCAGGATATCAACGACAACCTATCTTTAGCGTGCGGCAAAATTTCTAATTTTTAAGCATGAAACCATCCAAGAAGTAAAACTTGATTACATTGTTATCTCACATAAAACATCTGCATATGAACTCATATCAGTTAAAATGGCCAAAACATGCTTTTCAATGATAAACAATAGAATATACTAATTACGAAAATATAAAACGAATACAACCAAATCTCATTTTTTTTTGAAAGTAAACTTACGTTGGATCAGTAGCCAAGTTTGAAGACTACTGAGACACGCTCCATAGATCCATTCTTTTCAAAATCTTGCTTAAAGAAACGAGCTGTTTCTATATTCACGCCCACAGCCACAAATAAAATAGAGAAATTGTCTTCATCATCAAGCACACCCTTGTCGACTTTTTTGACAAGACCAGCTTGGCGGAACATTTGCGCAGCGATCTAATAAAATTTACTATCAAGTGAGTTCTTTAAAATAAAACTTCAAAGAATTTATAAAACAACATTACGTCATTATGCGGTAGTCTGAATTATTTCTTCTGGGTAGATACGTGAATATGGATGGATTTATTAGACCCTAAAAAAAAAATTTTAAAATTTAATACTTAACAAAATTTGAAGCTTGCAATCACACAAAATTATATGATATTAACCATTGATATATAAAAATCCTCTGCAAATATACTTTTGGACCTTTATCGATAGCTTTCCTGGATTCATTAAAAATTACGACCTAACAAGTTTTCCGATATGGGAATCTTTAGGATATCATCAGTAAATTCAACATGAATCAGCACCTGATGTGTCTTCAAACACCTTAAGGGGCAAATTATATAAAATTAAAAGAATAATCTTTATAAAAAACATTTTTATTTTAATCAAAAGATTATGAATACCTGAACAATCGCTCTCTTGCCTTGAATTTCCAAAACCTGACTAGCACGATGAGTGTCATTTACAATCTTCACAAGTTTAGAAATATTATAATCGACAAAGCATTTGAATGTGTTATGAAAAAAAATGGTGTGTCATAATATTTCCTTAACGTTTCTAAAATAACGAGCCATTTACACGAGCTACAGTTCAAATATCCGTTACTTAAAGATGGTGATATGCAAATAAATATAAATGATGTAAAATATTAAGAGCAAATATTGTCTTCAAAAAGAAATTAAATCTTTTAGACGAATTAAGGCAAAATGGTTTAATATACTGCGTGCTTCGTAGAAAAATAAGGAAAAAAATACTTGTTTGCAGTATGACGGCAAATTTTATTAAAAATTATTTACAAGAATTCTCTATTCCTTTTGTAATTCCTCAATCCTCCTTTTTAAATTTTCTAACTCTATTTTAATTGTGCTATTTCTGCCTTCACCTTATTAGACTCTTGTTCTAGTATCAATTTATTACGAACAATCTCAAGATCGGATAATTGCTTTTCCTCAAGTTCATTCATTATGTCTTTAACTTGGCTTGAAGTTGATATTTGACAAACTGATTCTTGGACTTACGATGCATCTCTAGAATATAAAAATGTTAAAAAAACCCCCAATTTCTAAGCGTGTATACCAAAAATGATTTAAAAATAACTATGATTACAAGATTCTTATCCAAAAATATCAAGGTTCATTACTTGTTACACCAGTTGGAATAAGTTCTTAACCAATCTGCATACACTCAATTTTCTTAGAGCAAGAAATCACGATTTAAATTTTCTGATTCTATTTTTAACTGTGCTATTTCTGTCTTCATCTTATTAGACTCTTGTTTTAGTGTCAATTTATTACGAACAATCTCAAGATCGGATAATTGTTTTCTCGAGTTCATTCACCATGTCTTTAAGTCAAAAGCGTACAGCCTGAAAGTATAGTATACACATCTTTAAGAGCAAACGAAATTAAAATTGAGAAAACAAAATTTGAAGATCTTATAACCTACGTATTACGTGTCTATTATATGGGCTTGGGTGCAAAGAAAAGGGTCCAAATTAATAAAAAAAAGGTTTTGTGAAAATTTGATTTTATATTATAAATCAAAAAAAAATTTATTATGAAGCGGTATTTGTTCTTTAAGTAAAAGAATTAGTTCGGTAGTTAAGCTAGTTAAGCTCAAAAGATTTTTTAAAAAAAAATAAACAAACGCGTGTAACAGTCCCCACCAGGCGGGAGATCTATGGACAGCGCATAGGCACTTACTTTTTTGATACTCCCAAAAATTTATATACTTTTTTGTACTGATATCACGTGCAGATCACCAAGCAAACTATTACCGGCAAGTTTAAAATTGCACTAACCTTAACAAACCTGACCCTTATAACAATAAACTATTAAAAAAATACTTTTTTTTAAAGAACAGCCTACATAGGTTTGATAGAGCAAAAACCTGTAACTAAACATAGTAAATCATTATGATCAGTTACAGATTTTCGCTCTGCAGCACTCATAAATAACTTGCTTGTATGGTCCACGAATAAAATTTACTATGTTTTTAAAAAGTTTAGAACGCCTAATTATATCTTAATTTTTTAAACTTCTGGTTGTGCAGGTCTTTAACAAAGATTACCGGTATATATATTTTTTAACCCGATATTTAGATGAGTTTTTTTTAAAAAAAATACATACAACGTTTTTTAAAAAGATAAATAAAAATTTTTTAAAAGATCTCTATCCGTGCAATAGATGTTTTAAATATTATTATGTATCAGCGTTTCTTAAGTTTTTTTTAAAAAAATCTTTTAGCGTAAAATTGTAATTTATTTAAGATCGCACTTACATTAGCATTCGATTTTTAGAAAAAAATTCTCAAAGGTGATTTCTTGTACGGATTTTTGAATACGTATTTTACATGATTTAAGTATTATTTTAATAAAAAAATTGAGTTGTATTGAATTAAAATTTAAAATAAAAAAATGTTATTATTTATACGTCGCGTATTATAGTCAGGATAATAAAATAGGGTTACAATTTTGACTATAACGCACTTGTAATTATGTATCGAAATAAAAGTTTTTTTTTTGTTGCAAGTTTTCGACAACTTAGACTAGTGTTGTCATGGAACAGCTCTGACAATTGTGAACAATTTTGAACAAAACAACAAATCTAAATTACTCAAAATTTTATTAAGATAACCTATTTTAATCTTTTAAGTAAAAATATTCAGAGCCATAAAAATATATAACAATTTTTTTTAACTAATTTAATAAATTTTAGTCTATATATTCTTGAACACTGTGGACGTTTGGACGTTAACATGGGTAAAAAAAGTCTTGGACATAGTAGACGTGATAACACTGACTTAGACCATACATCAAAAGTTTAATATCGAATATGTTTTCTATTCTACAAACACTACGCTATGCATTACAGCTGAAAATAGAGTTTGATTTAAATCATAATGTTATAAACACTGATTTTTATTGTTATTTCAATATATCTAAACGCGTACAAGGTTAGCGATGTAGTAATTATCCAAACTAAATTATATTTTTGAAAAGGTAATTGACTATTTACTAATTAAATTTTTTTAGCAATAAACATTATTTATAACAAAACTATTATAATCTAGTAACGAAGTTTTGCATGATTTTGATTAAACAAAATGATCATAAGTAATCCATTATAAAATATATGATTTATTGTAAAAACTAACGAATTTACTCTTCATTGTAAACATTTTCTCTGATACTAATGAATGCTGCTTCTCTACACAGGTTATCTAAATCTCAGAAACAGATGAACATAAATCTGATTTAGAAATACTGGATAACTGATGCGAAATAGTTGTATCTAATAATCGGCTTCAGGTACTTAAATGGATAATGGTGTCACATTTTGACAATAGCTATTGCTTAAATCATGGCTTGAGTCAATAGTTCAAACTGGTGCCATGGTTTGCCAATCCATACAAACCGTTAACAGCTCTAATAAATAAGCAGTAATTACGCTCATCAATTAATAAATGATCGATTCCATATTATCGAAAATAAGGTAAATAGCTTAAACATTTTAATCAATAATTATTGTATCTATCCATACCAAATAAATATAAATAAGGAGAAATATAGTGGTCGTAAAAAAGATCTATAAAAATACTATACAACAAATTTTTTCCTACTTTCTGAATGGTAAATTATTCTTCAATTTTTTTCAATGAATGATAGTGTTCTTAGCATTCATTAAAACAAAAATTATTGAAAATGGATTAGCATTTATGAAAAATCAGTATCAGGTTTGCACTGCCAATGCCAGCTTGCATACCTTTGTGTAACTTATACATTGCATAAATGCTTTATGATCTCCTAATCTTGTTGGTGCCACCAAGGTTACAGAGATCCCATTCTAACCGATCATCAAAAGATAGTAGTTGTTATACAAGCAGAATATTCAAAATTTCACCATTAGTAAGTTTCAAACCTCACCTGCCAACATGCTGTTTGGGGGTGAAACAACTTAACCATTTTACTAAGTTACCACACCCTTATATATATAAATTTTTAATTAGCTAATATATTTAAAATAAAATAAAAAATTAAAGTAGTAACAGATAATATATAATTTTTTTTTACTATACCCTTTTATCTTATATAAAAAAGTTTGATTAGCTATTATAAATTTATATATTAAAATAAAATATTAAAGACAAAGTGTAATGACTTAGTGAAGTTGATTAGTTGTTATATTTTCAAGTAGCAGATCAAAAGTTAAAATTTTACTAGTAACAAAATTTGAATTTATATAATACATTTGAAAGACTGTATTCTATTGAGTTAGTATTTATAATGGAATCACATCAGTTTATACTGAAAGATAATGAAACATTAGTATAATATATGAGTTATATAAAATCCTAGTAAAGCTACTAAGTAAAACTAGCAGATTGAAATACAGGTCTGTTTAGCAAGAACTAAATAGTGAGATAGCACAGATCTTTAACAGTATTAAGTAAATAATTATTATCTAAGGAATTAGAGAACCAAATAAGATTGAGATGTTTGGTAAAGCACTAATATCAACCAGGCTAATAAACAACTAGAAGAAGAAATTGCTCTTTTAGACTATCTGAATTAGAAGTTTAAAGTATATTAATGATTTGTAAAATGAATATCAGGGTTTAGATAAACTTTATAAGAGAAGAAGTAAATAATAGTAGCAGCTTTGGCTTACAAGTACTTGTTTTTGAACTTGGTACAAATTACTAAAATCTAAATTAACTAGATATATATATAGAAAGCTCTAGCAATAATGCTTCAAGAATAAAGTAGTCCTATAAGAAATAGATTAAGAATTTAGAACTTTTTGACTAATAAATATAGCAGAAATATACTGATATTATAATATAAATAAAGTTGTATTACAGAGGGTTTAAATAGATAATACCCATGTAAGCTCTGTCTGAGTCTCTAGTCTTAGTATCCTTTGGATATAGAGTTCAAATAATGTAATTTCTTTTTTGTAA